GTGGTAAACTCAAAGCCTACCACATTGGAGCAGGTATGAACATGGGAGAGCCTCTGCTTGTAGCGATACAATAAGATACGGCTTTGTACTTTCTGCAAGTAACAGGTCATCAGTCTTGTGAGGAACGAGACAGCGATAGGGACGAAGTGACATCTACAATTGGACGCTTGCAGCACCAAATGCGTGGTTACACGAGCCAGGGCGCACATCTCCAGGACAAATTCAATTCAGGTCATTTTATCCCTCAAATGAATGAGGTTACCTCTATAGCTTTGTATTGAACCGGATATGAATCTATAGTAAATAACGGCAGTTTTACTCTCTATAAGGGAAATGCAGTGAATCCAGCATGAAGAAGTGATCGCCCCTAAGCTCCAAATAAGGTTACCTGCGCGCTATACCCCGCAGTCTGGGCAAGATAGCGCACGTGAGCTCACTGAATGACTTATGCCAGGAGCCATTCAACTCGACCTCACATTTCTTCTTCCATCTACAAGTGATATACCAAACCGAAACTCAAACACATCCCACCAGATTCGTCTCCAATTCCGTTCCATCGTACCAGAACATCAAGCACAATTTCACCCACACTCCCCTACCCATCTACACCATGGCTACCCAAGATATTCCTGTGATTCGCGTCTTGATGGCGCTTCACCCTGGAATGGACACTTTGGACTTTACTGGTCCTCTGGAGATCTTGTCTCAAGCTCGACACAACATCAATGATGCTAGTAAGTCATTGCAACTACTACCACTACCTCATTCTGCCTTCATTGTCCTCATTACTTTTCAGAATGCGGGGTGTGGGGTAGACAGCGCTAACATGGAACCTTCAAACACAGGCACTAAAGCTTTCGACATCACCTTCGTAGCTCAGCAGGAGCATACTGTCACTGGACAGGGTGCTAGCGTTCGTGCTACTGTCGAATACAAGGAAGCATATGCAACCCTTAAGGACTACGATATCCTCATCATCCCCGGTGGAGGGACCGAAGCCATCCTCAAGAACAAGACAGAGCCCTTGGGCATCATCAAAGCCTACTCAGATGTTCAGAAGAAATACCCAGAGAAGGAACGCACCCTCTTCTCTGTCTGCAGTGGCAGTTTGCTTCTAGCTCAGCAAGGCGTTCTCAGCGGCTTGTCTGCCACCACCCATCCTGACTACTTCACAAAGTTGGAGAAGCTCAACTCGGAGGTCAGTCAGAGAGACCTGGCAGAGCGATGCGATGTCATCGAAGAGCGATATGTCGTCAATAACCTCCGCTATGATCTTGGCGAGAACCCGGACGAGAACCCACACATTCGCCGTAAGTCGGATGCCAAGCGTCCCCCCAACGGCCGCAAGGGCAGCATGAGCTGGAAGGAGAGCAACACTCGTCGTGAAAGCAATGCTCGCCGTGCTGCTCTTCGTCTCGGTGGCTTGAGAGTCATCACAAGTGGGGGAGTAACCTGTGGCCTTGATGCTAGTCTGTACTTGGTGAGCATCATGGTCAGCGAGGAGTCTGCTTCGGAGATTGAGCGAATCATCCAATATAAATGGAACAAGGGCATTGTTGTAGATGGTATTGATATCTGAGGCGTCGAGGCGTTGAGGCGTCGACACATGGTATTGTGCTAGAGCATAGGTCATCATCATTACAAGGTAGGTCAGCCTGCTGAAAGCTTTGTATGTGGGAAATTTAGGGAATTAGCGAGGTTCATGGTTATGAGCCTCGATAGCAGCGCTGTCTCTTTCAAGCAATCTCAACTCAAATGACATATACCGCGTCTATGAATTACGTCGGCTCTTGTGATTCATACTATGCTCTCTAGCTTTGTTTCGCGCGTGGCTCGGTCACTTACTATCTGCCTCGCAGTCTCTCCCATTATTGGCGCTGTATTGTGAGTTATAGTGATCGAAGACGCTGTCGTATTGTTTTGCAAGGATGGAGGAGGTACAACAAAAATCGGTGTCTGACTTCAATGCCAAGCCATGGAAAGGTTCAATCTTGACTAGGTTAGGATGGAGTTAGTGGACCACCACTCTCTGTCGTTTGCCAACTCGGTTATCGCCAACCATAGCTAGTGACGGTCTATTAGATTTGGTTGATGAGCTTGACGGACGCTGAAGGCAACAGTTTGGACATTTACTGACCTGCCGTCAGCATGCATATATCCCTGTTGCACGGCTTGCCCTCTAAGTTAGTATTTATAGGCTGAGACGGCTAATAAGAGTGCCTTTCTTCTGTTTTCACTGATCTTGAGGTTTTCAGTGCTTCTAGATTCATTGTTCGTTAACTATGAACTCTGCAATTGTCTGCATGCCTGATGGCGACTGTCTTCGGTCTAGAAACTGATACGAAGTCAGATCACCGACTTCAAGTTCAACAGCTCAACGATGGTATGCCGTATGTGGGTGATGAAATTGGTACCACTTCTGACAGCAAAGGCAGTGAGCTTTAACAGCTGAAGCCGGCTCCACAGAGAGTTCATCACGCTGAGAGAGCAGGATGCGACTGTCATCAAGAACGGGACCTTCGGCTGAAAACCTACCGAGGAGCCTGTCCTCCGGGACATCAACGTATCGATCAAGAAACCCAACTTGGCCATGATCATCGGAGCTGTAGCCTCTGGAAAGTCAAAACTACAGAAACCACTTCTAGGAGAAACAGCAAGTAGTCAGAGCTTAGTCTATGTCTCTTCTACACAGATTGCGTTCTATGACAAACGCCTTGGTTGATCAATGGGTTGATTGAGAAGAACGTCCCTGCATTTTCTGTCTTCGATGGGCCGTGGTACAGCTCTGTCACCCATGCATGCGGCTTAGAGGAGGAGTTGGACAACTTTCCAGATGGTGCTCATAGTATGATTGGCAGCAGGGGAATCACACTTACCGGAGGCAGAAAAAGCGCGTTATGAGTAGCACTACAGTCATGTCGGCTGCGTAAGCTAATAGCTAAAGTCATTCGTTTGAGCTGTCTACGCGAGAAAACCTATAGCAATCTTGGACGAAGTCTTTTCTGGCATTGACGGGACTACCGAGGATCTTGTTCTTAATAGACTACTGGGACCTGAAGGTCTCCTGCGGAAGTCTAATACAACTACCATTATTGCTACATATGCAGGTAAGCAATCCAGAGAGCAGTTTTACGACGTGATAGATGTCACTACGTAATGAACCAAAATTCACGGGGAAATAATTTTGTAGTATCAGCCAACACACTGAATTCTTTGAATAGTCAACCTGCTTCCATCTGCTCTGCGGACCATGTCATCGCTCGTGGACGTTCTGGCGAGGCCCTCAAGCAGGGAGCCTTAGAGCAGCTGGATACTTGTGCGGATATGTTCGAAACTTCTTGAACCCCCCCCCCCCCCAAGCTGAATTAAGCACGGCGGTTTGTAAGTAGAAGCCTCATCGGGGATGTGATACTAATACTCATACATGGGAAGGTTTTTTTTCATGACAATCAGACAAGCTGTACTGGTAGCTAGCGAAACGTTCTACATCGCTATCGTTTACCCACTGATCGCATCTGTCTTCTACTTCATCCAGAAGCACTATCTTCATACATTGAGACAGCTGAGATTCATGGGTCTGGAGTCCAGGAGTCCCTGGACTCCTCTTTAGTAAGCTCTCGGTCATTCTGCCCTCTCTTATCGCACTAATCGACACACTTAAACACAATTTATCGATTCACTAAGTGGCCTTCCAACTATCCGTGAATTCGGCCGGCAAGAAGACGAACGGAGCTTGAACATCGAAATTCCTCAAAACATCTCAAAAGCTATTCTATCTACTATACCTTATTCAAAGATGACTTACGCCTGATCTTGTTCTGAAATATCGCAGCTCTGGCTCTAATCGTCACTGGTCTGTCAGTCTAGTAACGATCGACTGCCAGTCTGGGGCGTTACTCTCATTACTATCATTAGCTTCAACATGACTTTGAAAAACTTGGTAATACTTTGTAAGCTGTAAAATAGCCCACCTATGGTTTAAGGCTGATTATATGGTAAAGACTTTGCTGGAGACAAGTATCGGAGCAGCGTCATGAGTCAAATCGGTCAGTGAGTCGGCAGAGGTCGAAGCTCTCCCACATGAGATAACACCACCTCCGGAGAACTGGCCTTTATCAAGGCGTATCGCGTTTAGCAACGTCAGATTCATACAAGTAAGTACCCACCAAGAGTTCGTAGTCTCGAGTTAACCCATCGCACTCAGAACCGCAGATCTCGACAATGAAGCCCTCTCCAACCTCTCTTTCACCCTCCCAGCGGCTCGGGCAAGCCTCTTTCATCCTCGTCCTCTTCCACATGATCGAGCTCGACGCCGGCATCATGCCCATCGACAACATCAACCTCGCCCGGAAGGACATCCGCGCGCACCTCAACGTCATCTCGCAAGACCCATACTTCATAGCCGGAAGCATCCGGCTCAGCTTCGACCCCTATTCCGGCAGCAGTGGCGTGGCCCTCCTCACCGCGCTGCAGAAAGCGCAGCTCGACGCCACCATCACCGTGAACGGCGGGCCGGACGCCGAGCTCGATATCGAAACCCTCTCGCACGGGCAATGGGAGCTATCCTGTCTCGGGTGTGCGATGTTGCGGAAGAGCAGGTTTATTGTGTTCCATGAGGCAATATCGAGCGTGAATCGCAAGACCGATGCGCTGATGCAGCGGATCACACATACCGGAAGAAGGGACTAGAGGTCTGAGTAGTTGGGATGATGGATTGCGGGTTTAGGATATACGTTGGTATAGATAGAGATAGAGATAGAGAGATAGTTAGATATTGTGATGAAGAATTTTGTCAATTCAGTCTCCTCAAGCAACTGACAGCTCACATCTCGAATCATGAAAACCTCCCGTCCACGTCCTTGTACCACCTCGCTAAAATAAGGGGCTCTGCTCCATAATTTCCTTCTTGTCCTTCTATCATCCATAATCAATATAATTCACAGCCCCTTATCCCAAGAAGTAGGTATATAAACATTTAGTTGGGAGAGTGATAGTCACTTGGACTGATAGCTCAATGGTAGAGCGTGGATTTGCAGTGTCCAAGGTTGCGTGTTCGATTCACGCTCGGTCCTAAACACCCACTTTTTTCTTATTTCTTGTATTTCTTGTGGGTTTTTATTTTTATTTTTGCTTCTGCCCCTGCTTCTCCCAGAGAGGCTGAGTGACCTATAGTGAGATGTATGTACTCTTTTTGCTTTTTTGCTGCAATATCTTGATATGAAGGGAGATTTCTTTGATATCTTGCCAAAGCTCACCTCACCATGAGCCTTCTTGGTCCATTGTCAACAAGAACTGGTGGCTTTATTTACTACACAAGCATGGTTAGTCTCTACGTATGGGCCCCTTAGTTTAACAGACTGATGAACTAGTTCCTTACAGGCGTCGAAATATCTCAGTATACCTCGTATAAGAATTCCTTGGGGCTAGCCTCCTCTTGATCTCTCCTATAACTACCCTGCACGGAGGGGGTAGTCTCTTTATATTATAGCCACCTATCAGGCCCCTCTGGCCTATCCCACGATCTGCTTTCTGGTGTATTCCTGTATAGAAACCGCTAGCTTAGCACGTCCTTATACCCTTCGGGAGGTCTCACAGGACGTAAATAATCATCATAACCATCATCATCTCTACGTATGGGCACAGTGGAAAATCCTTGGAATATCGAGGCGCGCAAAATATTCTCGTAAAAAGTTTCGATATATTGTTACGATATATGGCAGGACCACCGGACTCCCTAGCGCCGATTCTATTACATACAAGTGCCTTCTAGTGACCACCCGTAGTAGGGAGCCCCAACGCCACCTTGAACGAATCATAAACAAGCCACTGGAACGCCGTGAGCGTACCAATCATGACAATACGCGTCGGCAGACCATTCCACACCCCCCCAAACCCAATGTTTCCATAGATGCGACCCATCGCTTTGCCAGCGCTCTCGCCTGCCTTTCTGTCCGAGTTGAGCTTTGAGACCATGACATCTGCCGGGTGTGAAATGACAGCACATGCGATACCAGCAATGTAACCACCCAAGAAGGACACTCCGGTCTGCTGCAGGCCGTTGTATGATGATTTTGGCTTCCCGAGCGTCGCGTAGATCTGATCGACGGTCTTTTCGAAGGTTGCGAACTTGCACATCGTGTATGGGATTTGACGACCCCAGAGAGGAACCAGTCCCTTGTATAGCCTTTCTCATATCAGCACTTGTCTCTTTCAGATCGCCATCCAAAGATGCAACTCACCCAGCATATCCCTCACTCGCAACCACCTTCCCCATTCCCTCCCTCAAGCTATTCGCAAACGGCGGCAGCGTCGTTTGCATCCTCACCTTAATCGCCTCGAATGGACACAGCGCAATGTCGGCCAAAAACTCCGCGCTCGCACTGGCCGCCAGGAAGATGACCGTCTTGTTTGCCTCCGGAAACGCCTTTTCGCCATACGCATACTTGAAGACCTCGTAGAAGCCGTATTTCCCGCCGCCCTGGAAGCAGTAGCCCGCGAAGGTTGGCGACCAACCGAAGAAGACGCCGCGCAGGCCTTCAGAGCGGTAGATCTTGGACCAGGCGCCGAAGTTGGATTTGTAGAGGGAGGAATCGACTTGGCGACGGCATTTTACGAGATCTAGCGGTGTGACGGCGGTGTGTGTTGGGCCGCAGGCTGGGAGGAGGTGTTAGCTGTTGTAGAGGGTGGACGATGTGTGCAGGTAGGCCTACCAATTATTCCTCCTAGACCGCAGGCTGCGAAGTATTGTCCGCTGTAGAGCTCAATTTTGGGCTTAGGAAGGGCATCTTGGATTTTGTCCATCTTGAAGAGCTGTGCTCTTGGTCAATGGCTTGTTCGGTGCTTTGGGGGCGGACTTGGAGCTACCTCTGTTTATGTGCGTATGAGGGGAGACAAAGGAATCGAGGGACTAACACGCCAATTGAGTAAATGCGAAAATTGAGAGGGAAGTAGAGATTATTACATGTGAACAGAAATTTAGGAGGAAAAGGAAACTCATTCAGGTTACGGCCCTGATAGGAGCATTCCGCTTGTTCTGGGAAAGTTGGACTAGAGAGCTCACAGGTGAATGCAACGTCATGGCTTCACGAATAAGAGCAAGCTTGGACCTTTGATTTGGCCTGGCCAATTTTTTATGCTACTTCACAAGGTACGTTCTTAAATAATTCAATCTACCTACACAATTTCACGACACACCTAGAAGCCATTGCTGTCCGCATGTCAGCCATAATATCAAAGGCGGTTGTAGGACTGCTATGTTGAGCATACCCTGGTCGTTAGGGTTAATGACTGTGTGAAGCCGCAGCTGCATTTCCAGATTTTGCCGGAGCCGTTCCGCCTTTCTACTCGGATGGAACTTCGAATCCGTGAAGCTATCGAGAGGAAACCACCAAGGAAGGGCATTGAGTGGTATTTCATATTCAATAGCTGGGTACACTCGAGAAGACTGATCTTTTATAATCCGCTCCCACCCCTGCGGCCAGCTCTCATGGTATACACGCTTCAAAGTCACAAATGCATCCTGTCCCATTCGATCAACGCTACCAATCTAAAATCGATGGCTCTTCCTCTGCCGCTGTGCTCTCCACGCCGTATACCCAACATATACACCTCCAGCCACCACAAAGATCATGACGATCTTGAACAAGAACCAACTCCAGCTCCCTTTGGACTTCTGCGATTTTTTGCTCTTCCTTTTGGCCCTCCCAGCTTTGGGTGATCCCTTACCTGTATCCGTGTAGTCGGTCTTCTTCTTGGTATCATATAGGTTGTTTGTGTGCACGGAGATAATGTCGTGGTTGTCGCTGAGCTCCCCCGTCTCGGCACTAAATCCAAGGTATGATACCGAAGGAATCGTAGGTGGGTCGGTGGTCTCGAAGCAAACAACCCACTGGTCCTCCTGCTTGTACATCAACTCCAACTTCAGGCTCTTGTCTTGGAAGTATGTCAATTTGGCTTTGGTGGGAATGCTTGCGCCTCGGATGCCTCTGGCTGAACAGCCCATGAACTCGTTGTCTTTTCCGTCATTGGCCTTGTCGTATGGTTTTTGCCCGTCTCCAACCATAGCCATCACGTATGGGAAGACAGTTCCAGGTCGGTTGTTCTTGTAGGTGTCGAAGAAGATTCCGATACCCTCGAACTTGTCTACATGTCCAAATACTGTTCCTGGTTGTGCTCGTTGTTTCGTGAGCCACATTGCGAAGCCGTCGCCGTGGAGGTTTCCATTTCCCTGTACCTTGAACTCTATCTCAATCTGCTCGAGTTAACATTTGCGCAGCCGCTTGCAGGTTCGTGGGGAACTTCGTACCTCCCAATTCGTAGCAGTCAACGGCAACCTCGAAAATACCCATCCTTCCTGAGACGGGCGATCCGAGGTAAGTCGTATGTACCTGCAATCCTGTCAACAGGCGGCCATCCTACTCGATCCATGCCACGTACTGGTCTGCTCGTATAATGGTATTTCCTCCAAAGTCCCACCAACGACTTTGCATATCAGAGTCCAAATACGGCTGCAGGTTGGTTAGTTGACCTGTATATGGCTGTCTCCAGGCGACTGACTGGTGCTAATGTATGCGTTCGCAGCTATAACTCCATAAGCACATATCCAACTGCTTCCCAAATTTCGGTGAAGCTCACTTGTATTCTCCTAATGCCATTCTCGTCTGTACGAGCAGATTTTTCACCAGATCCCGCGAGCACTTGCGCTGCCAGCGGCAGCATCGCCAACCAGGACGAGAGCCACATCTTTCCGATTCTTCCTAAATTTCCTCGCGTAGAATCGTCCTGGCTAAGATATATCCTTCTCGGAAGCAGATTCAAGGCCAAACAATGAGAGAAGAAACAAAGAAAGAGCAACAGGCTGACAAGTGAAATGCTGTAGATACTGTATCGCAACTTGGAATTGTGAAAGCTGGCCTCCGCATTTGAGACCCCCTGGTCATTAATGTGGCGTCTGCCAAGCCTAAGGTCTGAGCTGGACGACGATGTTGGAAAGGCTTTAAGACAAGCAGTTCTTTCTTGTGCACTAACAGCTACTGAAGTTCTGAACTGAGAAACAACAGCGGCTTCAAACTATTGGCAAAGCTATCCTCAGAGCTCGTAAGATCCAATCTCTATCTGAGCCAAACTGAAAAACTAATCATGAACCAGCAGCTCCCCAAAACCTCCATCTACACAGCAAACATGGATAGCTATGGCTCCTCAGACAAGTCGCGACTCATGGCGCAAGTCAAGCAAGAAGCAGCCATGAACAACGCGCGTCAATTGATCGAAGTACATCTTCCCCTCCCCTCCATCCGTCCAGCATTACTAACAATCTGCCTGCAGAAAGTCAACGAACATTGCTTCGAGAAATGCGTGCCCAGACCTGGATCTTCACTATCGAGCGGCGAGAGTGCATGCTTCACACAGTGCATGGAGAAGTACATGGCGGCCTGGAATGTGGTGAGCCGGTCGTACATCAACCGGATACAGCAGGAGCAGGGCAAGGCTGGTGCTGGTGCTGGTGCTGGTGGAATGTTTTAGGAGATGGAAGCTCCTGGACCATACGGGATGGGAGATGAGGGACTGTACAATACTGGGGCTTGGCCGGGATGACTGGCAGGCATATAAAATGGGTGGACAACGTGTACAGATATGTATCAACAATGAAACTTCCCCTGGAATGCCGGAGAGAATGTAGCTGTGTTCCTGGTGTTCTGTGTCTGACAAGTGTTGCCTTGTCTCTTTAATTTTGCTCAAGATAATAGCACTTACATCAGATCGGAGCATCTACCTGATCTCTCAAACTTGTGTTAAAACCTGCGAATGTAGCTACAGCTAGCCTCCTCGCATTCAGCATATTTGATGCCAGAATTGATTTGGAACACAAGAAACCGGCTACAGGGGCGTGCTATCTCATCGTCTCTCTAAGTTGCAACGAAATGTCCCCTAACGTCTGACCTTCAGGGCAATGATTTTTACTTCTTTCGTGTCCAAGCTGGTCTGAACGCATTTTGTACTTTACAGTCATCGGTTCAAAAATACCACGAAAGCTGCCTTCTCACCTGAGGGTACGAACAGCATAACATGAGTT